TTGTTACACGAGATTTTCGTAACACCAGCCACGTTTGTACTTTTTTTTCTGCATTTAGCTTTTGACTGACATAACAGAAGTTTCTTGAGAAGGCTCATGTATGTACACACGTATTCTAAACTTCCATCTACTGATATGGTTTGAATATCACCACACTGACTGCTACGAAATTTATATCTCTGGTCACAGCTTTTTGTCTTGTGGTTAGGCTTTTGCAATGACCTCTTTTGACCTGATCGAATTACCACCACCATAAGTATGGCCCTGGCAATCATTGGTAGGTTTCTCATGCCTTCTCTACGTGGTTCCCAAGTTTGTGAGAAGGGAAGTACTGATGTGTCATCATTGAAAATGCAAAATAGCACGGCCACACAAATAAGCAAAGCCAATGCAGTGCTAACTATTCGTAGAAATCAGGTGGAAGTACAAGTAAAGAAAAATCTTTCTTGAGATACCTTTGGATGTACCATACAGTGATGTGATATGCTCTGGCAAAGGCATGGCTGCGTCTTGCCGCTAACATTATTATGTGTGGGTTCTGGACAGGTGTTTGATATGACGGAACAGTCGTGGCACTTCTGAAAAGGATATGTAGAGATACGAATCTTCAGCAATCAAAGTGTCAAGCAATAAACGACTAAGCAGAACAGAATGGAGGAGAACAAACAATTTGAACTAGATGGCAGATATTCAGTATGAAATGAGGCTTTTCCTATTCTTCCAAGCTGACCTTTACGCTCCATTCGGAAGTCGGATAACATGGCCAGATCAGTCCTCTGGTGACGTCTTCAAAGCACATACATACAGAAGCATTCACCTGAACACACAGCAGTAGAACTATTTTTGATAGTTGACAGACAGTTGCTTCAATGTACATACGCATCTGAAGCAATGCACCTTGGAACATGGTTATCATTACCGCATTTGAAAGAGACCAAGTACAAAAAAAATATATGGTAATGATTTCTTGGAAATGTTGCACCTCGAGAGGATTTCTGTTGGGGACACACTGTTCCACATTCAGACACGAACAACGAACAAAGATCGGTTGATAGACAGCTCCTTTGATCTCATTGTCATCGGCTGGAGAGCTCGAGCGCTTCCTGAGAGAAAAAATTAGGAGAGGCAATAATTCTACTGCCTATTAATTAAGTCCATCAATTATTGATTACTGTAATAGGGAGCGTTAAGACTAGACATTCTCTTTCTTGTCGTCGAAAATTGAACAAAGTAATAACTTGATGTTTCTGAAAACTGCCGTCATTTTACCCCAGTACGCGATACGAGAGTTAAACATAGATGGCGAATTGTGGGATGCCTTGAGCCTCTCACGGGACTCGGACCCGTACTTGTCCTCCCCAACACTAAGCTCTTTACCCCTTTGACTACCGAAACTCCACTTGCCCTCGCCAACTTGATGGTTTTTATGCTATAATTAGCAGCATTCGTCGGTACAACGGGTTACTTCAATGTACATACGCATCTGAAGCAATGCACCTTGGAACATGGTTATCATTACCGCATTCGAAATTCGCTTGATGGTTTTTATGCTATAATTAGCAGCATTCGTCGTTACAACGGGTTGAACCGCTACACTAATATCAACACAAAAATATCCTTCAACAAAACATAAAGAGCATGGCTCTCGGAAATCACAAGCACGGGCTCGAGTACCGTCCAAGGCAGGCGTTTCGCCCACAACTTGCCATTCGGGCGGATGATTGACTGTATAAAAGTGATGAAGTCGCTCTCTTCACGAAATTTACACAGTTGAACGATCTATCCGGGAAGTCTCCTGCATTTCCTTCAGGGGCTGCAGAAGTAGGATTATGTTTCAGAGCCCCTAATGGTGATAACAACAATTTGGCCTCCGGAAGTGAGGTATCTTATAAGTCATACACCTAATCTTTTCTTGCATTCTGACCACAATTTTTGTTTAACTTTGCTAAGGGACCACAATTTCTACTCGTTTCTTCAAATGTTGTTAGTCTGGAGCACATTAGCCCGTGAAGTCGATGTCATTCATCAGTGGTGTTCATGAGAAACATTGCTTACCAACGCTGATCGGCGGCTGTTAAAATGCGTTCGTCTTCTCGAAGCATCTCATTCATTTCCTTTGCGTTGATGACCTTTTCCCAGTGATCGAACTACAAAAATTTGATGAAAAATNTGCTATGTCATTGTCACTTAGAAAACTAGATTTTACGAAACCACCACTCAATCACTTCAACAATAAGGATGAGGCTTCGCTTGAAAATTGATGCTACCTCAACTTTGCAAAGCAATTATCGGCAGCTACTACCATGTTTGCTGTCACAGGGAGGTTCGTTCAGACTTCGTACCGATGTTTTACGGAACATTTGGAAAGAACTTACTCCCTCTTTGATGTCTTCATATTGGATGAGTTCACTATATTTGAAAGCATTCAGATTGCATACGGTAGCGGCGGGGAACGGTGCTGAAACATTCCTGGTCGTGATTTGTATGGTAATGCGAATTCCATGAATAAAATCCTATATTTTCTAACAGGAATAATTATGGGACATAGGGATCGGATATATCCAATGAAACTAGTGGATAATATGGGAAGTTTGAATGGGTGAGGCATGGGAGTCATGGGGAAACGATGAAGTCTTTTAACCTCAATGAACATCAGTTTTGAGATATGCCATCAAATTCGACTTCCATTCACCGTTTTGACAACGTCTTTGGTCTATAAAATGGCTTGCGGAGGTTTTCCTATGAACGAGTTCAGTCATCCTGTCGTCGATCTTGTACCGGCTGACGGAACAATGATCAAGAAATCTGCAGCGCAGGTATGCAGGCAGCTGATCGCCTACCGAGCAGTCAAGAAGTAATAGTAACAAGAGATCAATGAACACAGCGAATTAGACGAAAGCGATTACTGCCTGCTCTTTTTATTTGAAAAGTTATTTTCCCGTCCCATTCTAGGTGCCAAGAAGAAGAGCAAACACTCACCTGCTTCAAATCTCAATTGCATCTCGATAATAGTCCTGTACTGGAAATAATCGGATAGCGTCCAGTAGGTTTGACACAAGAAGAGAGTGGCGGCACAAAAGCACACCGCCATCCACACGCGCCATCCAAAGAACGAAGGAGATCTGAGCATTCAATGTTTAGTTGAGAAACTTTTGTGAAGCTCATGATGTTGTGCACGCAGTGATCAAATTTAGTTCTACCATTCGGATCGCCCAGCCAGGGGTTCTCCTCTTTTTCTTGTTGAGTTGACCTGCTGCCCGCGTTCCTCCCAAATCCGGACGCTCTGTTACAGAAAAACAAGAGTTAAGAGTTCCTCGTTAAGCACACATGACACACTTTGTGAGCGCCTCACCCGTCATGAGCGCACTCCTCCTCAAGTCATGTGTTGATAAAGGCCTGGTTCACGATAATACGGGGCGGCCACGGACTCATCCCAGGAAGATGTCTCGGAACCATTTGTTCGCGAACTGTGCGTTTAGGCAATTTGGTTCATTCTCATCTTGTTTCGTCTTGACTGCACTAAGAAAGTCGGGATGCGCCCATTTAATGTACGCTCCTCCTACCCATTTACATACTCGTCTCTATCCCAATTATTTGTACGCCCAAAATTCCGGGAGAAGGAGTTATTAACTTTTCTCAAGCACATAGTCCTGCACCGCCTCCTGTAGGCAAAACGTAGCCGAACCACCCCCTCCCCTCCCCCTCCCATTACCATTCCCATACTGTCGCCTGTACCCTGTAATACCAAACGCTCCAGATCCAATTAACACTCACTCCCCTCCTTTGTGAGCGAAGTTTTGTCGTGCTACCTCCATGGGAATTCTCATACAGCTGCTTAAACTCCTAACATGCTTGAACGCTCTAGGTTTACGGAGGATGAAGCTTCAAATATATGCCAAACCAGAAATTTTTGCGCACGCCTCTCCTCTTTGGGCGGGGTCTAGTCGTGCCACTTCAACTCAGCATTCCCACATTNTGTCACAGAGAGGTTCGTGCAGACTTCGGACCGATGTTTCACGGAACATTTGGAAAGAACTTACTCCCTCTTTGATGT